AGGTCCAGGTCGAGGGATTGAGGGAGCGGAATCAATTCAAGTATGAACAGAACATGTGGTCGATCTCATTACATAGTGGCGAAGATAAAGGTAAGCTAAGTCATCCCTGTCCATCGATAGAGTTAGGTGGCTCAAGAGTATGTCAAAATTGTTCCCGTTTTTCATTAAGGGGACGAGTTCTTCTCGCTTTGGCTTTTTTAACGCTTCCGACGGCAAGGAAAGTAACAGTTGGCGAATTAACCGGAAAACCTTGGACGGCAAATAACTGCTCAGTTGAAGTGACGCACTTGCAAGGTTGAAGACACATCCCGCGATTGCAACTTGCAGGCAATGGGGTTCAGAAAAACGTGTTGCTTTTAGCTGACATACTAGGGAGGAACAAAACACTTCTGACTGCTTCCTTACGTCCGGCGCTGAGGAGGTGGCATCCGCAGGATTCGAACCTGCGCCCTCCGAAGAGGACTGAATTCGAACCTGCGCCCTCCGAACAGGACTGACCTGCGTCGGGTAAAAGTCGCAACAAGGTATCTGTAGGAGGAACAAAACAGAAATAGACAAACCTCAGTAGGGCCTTACTTCTTTCCAGCTGATCTGATTACTAACGAAGTATAATAATGTGTTCATAGGGATTGGCTAAAGCTTTTTCACGACTGATAGTATGGTTGTCGCATCAGCGTTCGCGCGTACGCAAGCTTAAGGACACTTCGAAACGCTGCCACTCTCTCGAAACGCTGGCGTTTGTTCAAAACGCCCCCGTACGCCTTAACACCGACGCAAAGTATGAACGCTCTCTAAGATGGTCCATATTAACTGCAAGACGTAGCGAGAGACAACAACTACTGAAGAGCGCGAGAAAGAGACCAGAAAGCGACGGGCGAGAGGTCACAACGGCATTATCGCGATCACAACTTGGCCTCATGGGCGCACGCGACAAGTCTGCAGCCCTCTTCCTGCACACTTTTCGGCTGCGAAAAGGGCACTTCTAAGGCGTTTGCGGACCATGTCACCTACATGAGGGGATTGAACACCTTGCTAATTGCGGGTCTGGATCCAATTGTGAGAATAGAGAATCGATCCTAGTTGATTTTTTTATATCGCTGGGAGACCTCTAACAGTCTCCAAGTTTTACTGGGAACGGGTAAACTGGTAATAGCTCACCATCAAATTGCCTATGTTGCCTCGCCTCTTCTTTACACTTTCGAGCATTCACAGCGTTTGCTACAGAAAGTGATTCGATAATGAAGGTTGCTGCCACGTAACTGGAACAAGGCTTGACGTCGGCATTTACTCGACAAAACCTTAATGGTAAGCAGTAATCTTACCTCACCAAGCTAGAGACAAACAATATTATAATGCTGAGAACGTAGCCACCCGTTTGAAATGCTTTCGGTAATGCCAATGCTCCTGTACCAACAATGAGATTAAAGATGTATAAAAAGCCCATCTGAAATTATCAATATTAGAATCAATAATACATCTGAGTACTTCCATTACTTGTTTCAACTTCTTACCGTAGGGCTATATGATGATGAGGGACAAGTATCGGCCGGCATGATGAAGAACTTTGACAGCTACAGGGTGGGAATAATGAAGAAAGAAGGCGGGCACGTGTGTCGCACTTATCGCATTTGATAACGGGTTTATCTGAAATATTTACACAGAGTCATCAGTAGCATTAAAAAGACAACAAAGTAAAGCCATTTCCCAGACAGAAAACCCCAGGCACGTGGAACCCGAAAGGGAAAGGACAGTGAGAAGGCATGTAAGGCATTT